AAACCAGAAGTAAAATGCAAATTCCAAATAAATAAATATATACATGCATATGTTCAAGTATTATTGACATAGTTGAAGTGATTTTTTTATTTAGTTGATAATTATGTTTAATTCAGCTTGAAAAATTATAATTATTCGCTGGAATTTAAAAAAAGGAAAAAACAATTAAAAAGCAGTAAGTTCGACCGGGCCGAACTTTGAATACCCTACATCATTTGGAGCGAATTAGGAGATTTTCAAAAAAAAAAAAAAAAAAAAACCCGTAAGGAAAGCTCAAAAGTCGGGCGAGGCCGACTATATGATACCCTACATCACTATGCATATTTAGTAGAGCTCTCGCAAAAAGGTTTATACAGGGCCTTTGAGAGCTGTATGAGATATTTGGTACAAAATCAAAATCTATCTAATTCTATCGTGCATTTTACGAACTATAGCTATATCTGAACCGATTTTCACCAAGTTTGATGTATTTGATTCTAGGCTGAATTCGGTCAGATTTGCCAAAACCCAGGACATTTGGGCTGATATTGAACATTTGGTGCGCAATCAACACGAAATTGAATGAGGATATATATAGGATGTATATCCAAACCTGAACCGATATTTGTAAAACTGAAAAAGAAGATATTTCTTGGCTGAATCTGATACTAAATATTATTCTTGTATCGTACATTTTTCGAATTTGAGGGACTTAAAGTACAAATCGGATGAAAGGTATATACAGGAGCTATAGCTGTATCCGACCGATTTTCACTAAATTTGATGTACTTGCTTCTAGACTACCAAAAGTCAGGTCAATTGAGCCGATATTAGCCATTTGCTGCACATTTAATCCGAAATCGGATGAAGATATATTTGGGAGCTATATCTATATCTGAAACGACTTTTACTAAAATTGGTGTCCTTGCTTCTAGGCTGAATTTGGCCAGATATGCCAAAATTCATGCCATTTCGGTTGATATTGGCCATTTGTTGCACACTTAACACGAAATCGGATGAAGATACATATGGGTGCTATATCCAAATCTGAACAGATTTTGATAAAATTAAAATAGACTTCTTTTGGGCTTTATCTGATATCTGGTACCAAATATCATTCCTGTGAAGAGTATATTACGAATGTAAGAGACTTAAAGAGGAAATCGGATGAAACATATATATGGGAGCTAGAGCTATATCTGAACCGATTTTTACTAAAATTTGTGTACTTGCTTATAGGCTGGTTTCGGTCTGATTTGCCAAAATTCATGCCATTTGGGCTGATATTGGCCATTTGATTCACAATTAACACGAAATTGGATGAAGATATATATGGGAGGCATATCCAAATCGGAACAGATTTTAATAAAATTAAAATCAACTATTTTTGGGCTTTATCTGATATCTGGTACCAAATATCATTCCTGTGGAGTGCATATTACGAATGTGAGGGATTTAAAGACGAAATCGGATGAAACATATATATGGGAGTTATAGCTGTTTCTGAACCGATTTTCTCCAAATTTGTTGTATTTGCTTTAAGGCTAATCTCGGTCACATGTGCCAAAATTCGGGCCATTTGGGCTGATATTGGCCATTTGGTGGTCAATTAACCCGAAATCGGATGAAGATATATATGGGAGCTATATCCAAATCTGAACCGATTTCGATAAAATTTAAAACAGCTATTTATGTGCTCCATCTAATACCTGGTACCAAATATCACGGTTGTGGATTGCATAGTGGGAATGTGAGGGACTTAAAGATCAAATCGGATGAAAGATATATATGGGAGCTATAGCTATATCTGAACCGATTTTCTCCAAATTTGATATACTTGCTTCTAGGCCGAACTCGGTTGGGTGTGCCAAAATTCAGGTAATTTGGACTGACAGTGGACATTTGGTGCACATTTTACCCGAAATCGGATAAAGATATATATGGGAGCTATATCTAAATTTGATCCGATTCTCACCAATTTCAATAGGGTTCGTCCTTGGGCCAAAAAAATATTGTTTGGAAAATTTCATCTCAATCGGACAATAAATGCGACCTGCATTTGTTCACAAGAATACATGGACAGACGGACGGACAGACGGACGGACAGACGGACTGACATGCATAAATCGACTCAGAAAGTGATTCTATGAAGGTTCTCAAAAGTAACTATGGGTCTATCTCGTTTCCTTCTCCATGTTACAAACAAATGCACAAAGACATAATACCCTTAGCACTATGTGGTGTAGGGTATAAAAAAAATAAAAGCCATTAAAATTTCTGTTAAAATCTTAAGAATACAGAATATCGTAAGGTGCGATATATTGTAACATTTTATCAACCTACTTCATTTTTTTCGGAAGCTAGGGATATTTGCATAGAAATTTATGACGATCAAATGTAAATTTCGAGAAATTACTAACGGAATTGTGGAGAGTAAAATCCAATATAATAAAAATATACTGAAAATATTATTTAAACGGTTTGGATTTCAATCATACATAGCCAACATAAGTTTCAATTGTTTTGTATACCCTCGGCCATATGGCAACAGAGGGTATATATCATTTGAAACGATCAAAACGTGCCTCATCGAAATAACGGTTTTAGACCCTAGGTCTCTTTGGACCAAATCATTTCGGGATATTTGGAGTCGATCTAGCTGGCTGGATTGTGCGCACGATAACCCTCGAAGGGAGTATCCGATTTGATCTAAACTTTGTACATCGTAATATTATTGTCAAACTTAGATCGAGTTCGGATATGGGCAATATCGGTCCTCCCCCAAAATGTTAACCTGAGATGAATATGGAATTTATGGTATAACAAGTAAAAAAGCAGTAAGTTCGGCCGGGCCGAACTTTAAATAACCTCCACCATTTGGAACGAATTAGAAAAATATTAAAAAAAAAAAAAATAAAATCCATTGAAAATTCTGTTAAAATCTTTAAAATACCTAATATCGGAAGGTGCCGATATATGGGGGGATATACGCTATTGTGGACCTATATAGACAAATATATGTGTGGAATTCCTTGTGTGGATTTTCAGATAATTCCATTGGGAAATGTGGCTAAAAATATCAAAATCCCGAATATCGGTGGTACAGTTATATGGGGGATATACGATATTGTGGACCTATATAGACAATACTTTTTGAGGGGGTAAAATGCCCACAAGGGACTCTTTTGTAGAATTTTAGACAATACCATTGAAAAATGTGGATAAAATCATCAAAATACCAAATATCGGGGGTACCGTTATATGGGGGCTATATGATATCGTGGACCTATATAGATAATTCTCTCCCAAGGTATAAAGTACCCACAAGGGATTCCTTGTGTAGATTTTCAGACAATTCCGATAACAATTCCTATCTTAATTCGTTTAGACTGTAGCGTGACAACAGACGGACAGACGGACGGGCAGGGCTAAATCGTCTTAGAATTTTACGCTGATCAAGAATATATATACTTTGTTGGGTCTAAAATGATTATTTCGATGAGTTACAAACGGAATGACGAACTTAATATACCCTCCATACTTTTTTTGCTGGAGGGTATAAAAATGCAATATTTCGGTCGACTATATGTGGTACGTCACGCACATTTTAACATTTACTAAAAATTATCACATATCCCATATAAAGTTGAGGAAGTAGTCGATATAGTCCAAAACTGACACGCCGCAATTTTTATATCATATTTATTTAGGTCCGATACGAAATGACAAACATTGCCCCATTCCTTCGGAGCCTACTCCATAGATGGTCAACATTTTGAATAATCATAACAGAAGTCAAACTCATCGAACATTGTCTGAGGATATACCTCTGTCGGAAAAATCGGTTGACACTTTTTAACTTGTTTTTAAAATTTGTGATTATATTGAGAAAACAACTTCCAATACCAAACTTGACAATATAGTTTTGAAGTTTAGTCTTTATACCCTACACCTCTGTCAATTTTTATCAAGATCGGACCAGATCTTTATCCGAGGTTTCAGGTTTGATGTGCACCAAATGGCCACTGTCAGTCCAAATGACTTGAATTTTGGTACATCTGTCCGATTTTGGCCTAGAAGCAAGCTATAACTGCCATATATATGTTTCATTCGATTTGGGGTTTTAAGTCCCTCACATGCGTAACATGCACTCCACAACAATGATCTTTGGTGCCAGATATCGGATACAGCTCTAAAATAAGTGTATCAAATTTTCAAGATCGATTAAGATTTGGATATAGCTCCCATATATATCCCCAAGGGATTTCGGGTTAATTGTGCACCAAATAACCAATATCCGTCCAAATTATCTGAGTTTTGGCACATCCGACCGAATTCAGCTAAAAGCAATAACATTACATTTGGTGAAAATCGGTCCCATATATATGTTTCATCCGATTTGGTGTTAAAGTCGCTCACATGCGTATTATGTACCCCACAACAATGGTCCTTGTTCCAGATACAGAAGATACAGCTCTGAAATAAGTGGATCAAATTTTGTCAAGATCAGTTCCAGCTCCCTTACATATCTTTATCTGATTTCAGGTATATTGTGCACAAACGATTCCAAATGACATGAATTTTGGCATATCCAACCGAATTCAGTCTAGAAGCAAGTGCATTAAATTTGGTGATAATCGGCTCAGATATAACTATAGCTCCCAAATATATATGTTTCATCTGATTTGGTGTTTAAGTCCCTCACGTTCATATTATACATTCGACAGAAATGATATTTGATACCAGCTATCAGATATAGTCCACAAATACCTCTGCCAAATGTTATCAAGATTGGATATAGCTCCCATGTATATCTTCAACCGATTTCGGGCTAATTGTGCACCAAATGACCAATATCTGTCCAAAAATCCTAAATGTTTACATCATAATATTGTTAATTAAATATTTTTGGAATATAATTTTGGGTCACCGCCTATTCGAACAGACAAAGATTCCTATGAATGTCCAACATTAGATTGTAATATTTAATATTAAATGGCCTGTCATTAGTCATTCTCATCATATTATCTATGGCCAAGCTGTACAAAAATATTTCAGAAAAAAATTTAAATAGTCGGCATCAATCGAACGTTTCAAATTGGGTCAACACGACTGCAACACAAAGGGCCAATTATTCTTGTCCATTCAAAATATTCGACAATCTGTCCAGAATGGAAGTGTGGGGGGTAATTGATATTTTCATACTGCAGGGAGGTGAGGAGGGGTCGGTCAACAAATCTGCAAGGAAAGTTTTTGAAACAGAATGGAAATTTTAAAAGCGATTCATATATAAGGGAATTAAAGGGGGTTATTTGTACTTAAAGGTAGTTGTCATAAGTTAACCGTGGAAAAAACTTGATTTTTCCAAATTTAAATTTTTAAAATTATACAGAAGATAAAAAATTAAAAAAAATTGCTTAGTTCAAAATAACAATGTTTGTTAACTGGCCACCTTAAGCGCTTACGATCAAATTAATATTTAACGTAATTTAGTAAGTAAAGGGCGCTGTATTTAGTATGTTGAATTACAACTTTAATGCTAACCGCGGCCAAATAATGTATATACTTAGTTCTCTTTTTTTCTTTGCATCGTCAAACAAAAAGATCAACTCAGCTCTTGATACTGAGTATTATTTTGTACATCTTTTGCAAAGTGTTAGATAACTCAAGGTAAGCATAGAACGTGTTAATGCTGAATCCGATTCCATATGTGCCACTAAATATGGCTATGACTATTTCTATTTCCATGTTCGCTAAATAATGTTATCTTGAGTTTTCACGAAGTCCCTATATAAAGTCGATATTTTCCCTTAATACAGAGTGAGATGAAAAAACTGCACCCAACTTCAGACTGCTGGCATTTCTACGCCACTCGTCTGACAGCTTTTAAAATTATTCTAGTGACAGCGCATTATATTGTTTACAAGCGTACAAAAGCATTTTGGTGAGAATTTCCAGAAAAAACGTTATTTGTGATGGAATTCAAGCGTGATAGTGTAATTTCCTTATATTTTGCTGGAAAACAAAAAGTGGCTATCGTTAGAGCACTCCAGCATTTAAATGTGAACAAATCTTTTGTGATACTGGTAGCGTAGCCCAACGTCAAGGAAGTAGACGGAAGAAAACAGCAACATAAGCAGAAATGTTTCGAAAAGTAAAGAAGCGACTTGCTCGAAACCAGCGTCGCAGTGACCGAAAAATGGCTCGTGAGCTGAACATATCGCAATATTCCATTCGGTAAATATTGAAAAATAAGCTCGGGGTAAAGTCATTGAAATTTCAAAAAAGTTCAAGAACTTACAACGCAACAGAAAGAAAATAGACTCAAAAGAGCTTAAGAGTTGCTTGGCTTGGCCAAAAGTGAGGAACTGCCGTATTTGGGTTTCTTCGATGGGAAAACATTCGTTGTCCAGCAGTTTGTAAACAAACAAAATGATTGTGTTTTCTTGCCAAAGAGGTCAGCTAAAAATGTGCACCTTCGGTTGGCTACCAGAACTCAGGCGCAGGTCATGGTGTTGGTGTGGGCCGCCATAACAGCCGATTGTCGCTCTCCGCTCGTATTAAACGACCGTGGAATCAGAATAAATGCCGAATAATATTGCGAAATTATTCTGGAGGGTGTATTAAAGCCTTGGGCAAGCAAACATTTTGGCCGCAGACCTTGGACATTCCAACAGGACTCAGCACCATCGCACACAGCACGCGCCACCCAGCAATGGTTACAAAATGAGGTTCCTCGCTTCATTTCCAGCGCAGAATGGCCACCAAAATCTCCGGATAGCAATCCGTTGGACTATTGTGTCTGGAGTATTTTGGAAATCAAGGTTGGCTCTAAAAAATACCAAAGTGTCGATCACCTCAAGCAACCGCTTCGCCGTTAATGGCCCAAAATGCCGCAGAGCAACATTCGGGCAGTGTGTGACGGTCTCATTGGCCGTATGAAAGCCATAATTCGTTCCAAAGGTGACTAATTCGAACAAATCTAAACTTATTCTAAAATTCGATGTTATTCTGACATTTTTTTTGCTTTCATTCAATAAAATGTAAAAAAAAAATATAGAAATTATGGCGTTTGACTTTGTTGCAGTTTTTGTTATCTCACCCAGTATATGCAGTAAACCACCCAAAACTACAGTCCACTGACGGCCTAAAGAAACAGTTATTTTTGGAGTTTTAGCATAATTCCTTCGCACTTACATCCTTAAGTACTCAAAATGGGCGATCTTTTGAAAAATAGGTTAGCGACGTTTCATATTCAGAATTTTTGCTCCAATGGTAAAATATTTATTGCCTTTTGGTACTTAATTCTAAAATCCTAGAATGTCTACGCTAAAAGCTTTGATAGTTTGGCTCCAGAACTGTATTTTAGTTCATTTAAGAATTTACTAACATTTAGAATATAAAACTGTTGAGTATTGAGTATTTTACATTTTAATTATAAAATTCTACAAAAAATCTCAGATATCTGATGAGTCAAGTTTCAATGTTAAGTTGTTTTAACAGCAAATGCAATTTTTAACTGATTGAAAACGTCAATGGAATACAATTTTGAGAACAGTCTTTCGTTTGCAGGAAACGTTTTTCATAAAACTGATCTATAATTGTTCTTTTTATGTTAAATGCCTCTGTTGAGAGAAGCGCCTCTAGATATTTTTCACATTAACTATTTTTCGATAATGCATTTCGTCCAGTCTTTGCCATTTTAGGTTTTTTCCGAGAGTTATTGTGCACACCAGTCATAAAGACTAATTGATATTATTAGATAGACCCAAAATACCCTGCAACAGATTTCGTTTAAAAAGGCATATGGTATAAGATCGACGATTTCGATTAGATACATTGTGGTCTTATCAAATGTGATGTATGTTGTTATAAAACGGAGAAATTTGATAAACACTGTACAACATAAATAATTATTATAGAAAAAATTCAGCAGATTTTGAAAGCAATACTAACAAGTAAAAACGGCTGATTTCGACCAGGCCAAACATAAAATACCATCCACCATTTTGAAGTTATTCGACAAATTCAAAAAAAAAAAAAACAGTAAGGAAAGCTCAAAAGTCGGACGGGACCGACTATATGATACCCTACACAAGAAAAAGAAAGGTTTAGATTGGGCATTTCTGAGCTCTATGTGATATCTGGTACAAAATATGATTATGGTAGAGTACATATTCCGAAAGTTCGGGATTTAAACACCAAATTGGATGAAACATATATATGGGAGCAAATTTGAAATTCTTGCTTCTATGCTAAATTCGGTTGAAGTTCGAAAATCCATTTGGACTAATATTAGCCATTTGGTGCACAATTAACCTGAAATCGGACAATGATATGGGAGCTATATCCAAACCGATCTTTATAAAATTGAAAACAGCTATTTCTTGGCTGTATCTTATATCTGGTACCAAATATTATTCTTCTATCGTGCATTTTACGAATTTGAGGGACTTAAGCTAACAATCGGATGAAACATATATATTGGAGCTGTAGCTATATCTGAACCGATTTCCACCAAATTTAAAGTACTTATTTCTATATAAATTCGGTCGGAAATGCCAAAATTCACACCATTTAGACTGATATTAGCCATTTGATGCACCAGAAACCTAAAATCGGATGAATAAATATATAGGAGCTATATCCAAATCTGAACCGAGCTTGATAAAATTTGATCAATGAATTACTAGGCTGTATCTGATATCTGGTGCTAAATATCAGTCTTGTTGATTGCATATAACGAATGTAAGCGACTTAAACACCAAAATCGAATGAAACATATATATGGGAGCTACAGCGATATCTGAACCGATTTTCACCAAATTTGAAGCACATAGGCTGAATTCGGTCGGATGTAGCAAACTTCAAACCATTTGGACTAATATTAGCTATTTGGTGCACAAGAAACCTAAAATCGGATGAAGATATATATGGGAGCCATATCTAAATTTGGACCGATTTTCACCAATTTCAATAGGGTTCGTCCTTGAGCCAAACAAATATTATTTAGACAATTTCATATAAATCGAATAATAAACGCGACCTGCATTTTGTATACAAAAATATATGGACAGATGGACGGACGGACAGATAGACGGACGGACGTACATAAATCGACTCAAAGTATGATTCTATGCTGATCACCAAAAGGAAATATGGGTTTATCTCGTTTCCTTCTCCACGTTACAAACGAATGCACAAAGACATAATACCCTTACCACCATGTGGAGTAATGTAAAAATCGTAGACAATCGGGCGTACCGTTGTATGGGGTTGTATGCACGAAATCGTGGACCTATGTATACAATTCTCTTCTAAGGAATAAAGTGATCACTAGAAAATCCTTGTGTGAATTTTGAGAAAATTCCATTAAAAATTTTGGCTACAATCAGCAAAATATCGAATATCGTTAGGTACCGTTATATATACGAGATCGTAGACCAATGTAGACAATTCTCTCTCAGGGGGGTAAAGTACTCACAAAGAACTCCTTGTGTAGAATTTCAGATAATTCCATTGAAAAATAGGGCTAAAATCATCAAAATACCGAATGCCGGGAGGTACAGGTACAGGTACAGGATATACGATATTGTGGGCCTATATAGACAATTATCTATATAGACAATTCTTGGGGTAAAGTACTCTTAAAGAACTCCTTGTGTAGAATTTCGGATAATTTCATTGAAAAATGGGGCTAAAATCATTAAAATACCGAATGTAGGTAGGTACCGTTATGTGGGGGATACATGATATCGGGGACCGATATAGCCCATCTTCAAACTTGATCTGCCTGCATACAAAAAAACTGATCTGTGCAAAATTTTAGCCTCCTATCTTAATTCGTTTTGACTCTAACGTGATTACAACAAACGAAACGACAGACAGGGCTAAATCGTCTTAGAATTTTACGCTGATGAATTTGTTAGGTCTAAAATTATTATTTCGATGATTTACGAATGGAATGACGAACTTAATATACCCTCCATATCATTTGTGGTGGAGGGTATAAAAATCGAGTTACCTTGACAAACGTTATGAAATTGATTATTTTTTCTTATGAAGGTTTTCATTTCAGGTACATCACCAAACAGCTTACCTAACAAATTTAAGTATAGTTCATGGAAAAACTTTCAAAGATTCAATTGTGGATTCAGAGCCCAAATATGGGATTCTTTCCATTTTAGCTGAATCCCATCTCATTCAGGCTATACATCTTTATCAAAACGCATATGAAAACTATTATTTCGAAAGTTTTGCAATGTTTTTTTTTCCAAACGTATACTTTACAAAGAAATAAAGAATAAAACTTTCTCCTTCATTTTTATAATTTTTGTTCTTCGGAAAAATCACAAACCTCTGTTTCTATTGTACCAAACTAGGAATTTTGTTAAACCATTCCGTTTTCTTTGAGTTCATTTTTCTGTGTGTGTGTATGTGCAAACAATAAAAGCATTATTGTTCCACATTTTCTTTTCTTTTTTTTCACTTTTTTTACACTTCAAACAATAAATTTTATTGTTTAGTCCTTGCCCCTACGTCGCCCCCCATGCTGGTTATTTGATGGTGGAATGAAGCTTTTGTTCACCCGGAAAAACAAACAAAACTTAAATTGAAAAAAAAAAAAAAAAAACTTTTAGCACTTACCATTTTCACTAAGTCGCGTAATTTTCTGCATATGGCGACAAAACATCTCATATTCACCTCCTGTTGCCGGTGTCGACGATGACGAGGACGACGATGATGCTGTACAGGCGGATGCGGTGGATGTGGAGGCTGTGTTGTTGGCGCTGGCGGAGACCATTGCAGATGTTACCTGTGGCGCAATGGTAGCACAAGATACCCTGTTGTTGTTGCCGGTACTGCTACTGCCATTGGTTGCGGTGGTTTGTGGAGCATCTGTTGTTTTAACCGATTGCATGTGTTTGGTAAAAGCCCCGACGATGGCAGCCATACGATCGAAAGCATTTATATTTATGTGGCCATTTGGTAAACTGCAAATACAATCAAATGTATAACCATGTGTGTGTATACATGTATATATGTATGTTGGTATATATTTATATATTTAGTGCGGTAGTGTTGAGTGTGTGGGGTTTTGTTTTAGTATTCTATTCTATCGCACAATGAATAGCAAAATAAGGACATTATGGTGTTGATTTGGCAGTGAGAAAATCTCGCTATTCATATGCATTTGTATTTGACTATTACAAGATTAAAATTCGAAATCGTAATTCTACGGGGTCGTTTTATTTCACACTCTCGTAAAGTTATATTCAATATTTCTTTTACGGTTTTCAAATTTGAAATATGATTTTAAATTATAGAATGATTTTGAAAAAAATAATTTTTGTACATCGTAGGATGGACTGCATAGCCAACTTAATTTTTTCCAAAATTACAAAACAGAACAGTTGATATTCTGACACTCAGCATTTTAACTTAATGCTAGGACCTACATATCCTATTTGTATTCCAGATCTAATGTTTGTAAAAATAATTCGGGCACATGAAATTATGAAAATGATGATTATTAACAATTTTGATCTTTTGTGGAAGAAGTACCAGAAGAAGGGGACAGACATATCTACATGCGAAAACCAGTAAAAAAAGTCTTAAAGTCGGTCGGACCGACTTTATGATACCCTACACCACTTTGCATATTTAGTAGAGCTTTGATTTCGGAATTTGTGAGAACTAAATCATACCAACTATGATTGTAGTTGTAATTTAAAGTTCAAAGGACTAAATTTGCCGAAGCATTTGTGTCTTCTCAATTCATGCTTGTATTACCCATTTGATGCACAATTAACTTGAAATCAGATAAAAATATATATATGGGAGCTATATCCAAATCTGAAGCGATCTCGATAAATTTTGGCAAATGTATTTCAGAGCTGACTTTGATATATTTCCCTAAATATCGTTGTAACGAAGTGTATATTACGGCTGTGGAGGACAAAAATAAATTTTGACTATTTATCTCCAATTTCAATGGGCTTCGTCATTGGGCCAAAAAAATGATTTGTGCAACATTTCATCCGGATCGGACAATAAATGCAACCTGTACTGTAAAAATACATGTACAGACGGACGGACATGCATAAATCGACTCAGAATGTGATTCTATGCAAATCATAAAAGGAACTATGGGTCTACCTCGTTTCCTTTTGCCTGTTACAAACAAATGCACAAAGACATAATACCCTGACCACTTTGTGGTGACGAGTATAAAAAATGTTCTCCGTTTTGACATTGTTCGCCCCTGCCCTAAGTCTGATTATTAATATTGCCAAATGCTTGAACTATATAGAGTACTGGATTCTTTATACCCTACATCACAAGGTGGTCAGGGTATTATGTCTTTGTGCATTTCTTTGTAACAGGCAAAAGGAAACGAGATAGACCCATAGTTCCTTTTGATGATCTGCTTAGAATCACTTTCTGAGTTGATTTATGCATGTCGGTCCGTCTGTCCGTCCGTCCGTCTGTCCGTGTATTTTTGTGAACAAAATGCAGGTCGCACTTATTATCCGATTGAGATGAAATTTTGCAAACAACATTTGTTTGGCCCAAGAACGAACCCTATTGGAGATAATCGGTAAAAATTTAGATATAGCTCCCATATATAACTTCGCCCGATTTACCATTTATTGTGCACCAAACGTCTGATATTTGTCCAAATTGGATGGAATTTGGCACTTACGACCGAATTTAGTCTAGAAGATAGTATGCCAAATTTGGTGAAGATCGGTTCGGATATAGTTATAGCTCCCATATATATTGTTCATCCAATTTATTGTATTTGTTACCCACAGCCGTAATATGCACTCCGTAACAACGATATTCAGGGAAATATATCAAATACAGCTCAGAAATATCTTTGCCAAATTTTTTCGAGATCGGTTCAGATTTGGATATAGTTCCTATATATATCTTTATCTGATTTCAAATTAATTTTGCACCAAATGGGCAATACAAGTCCGAATTTAAAAGATACAAATGCTTTGGCATGTTTAGTCCTTTGAATTTTAAATTATAATTATAATCATAGGGTGTACGATTGGATTCTCCCATAAAAACTTTTAATAATTAAGTGGAGCTCAACTAATTAGCAAAGTGGTGTAGGGTATCATAAAATCGGCCCCGCCCGACTTTAGGACTTTCTTTACTGGTTTTATATGTATGCTTTTTTAGAAATTATAGAACTTTTGTGTGGGTAGACCCAGAATTGTGGGCTTATATATTCTGTTTTCAATGTAGCTCTAATATTAACAAGAATTTTGGAACGGGAAATTAAAAAAAAGTCTCGTACATTTCCCACTTAAAAATATTTATTATTACAAATTTTGACAGATTGCACTGCAGAGTGGTAACAAAACGTGACAAAATGAAAAAACCTAAATGTAAAAATTTTAACTTAACAAATCAAAAATTAAATTACACCAAATTTTAGGGTTTTATCTATCATTTTTAGGTTGAAAGCAATGGTTAATGGTACTATAAATATTTTCCACTCAGAGACATATATTTTCACTTCACACAATATTTCCTATACTGACAAATTTTGGCACATCAATTCGTTATCCTATCCGAAACACCACCATGCGTATTTAGTATAGCTCCCGTAACAAAATAAGTTTATTTTGGGAATTTATATGAAGTAGATCATAACAACTATGAACCTTATTTGAATGCATATCACGGCTTTAGAGTAACCACAATCTGGGAACTATATCAAACTCTGAATCGATTTTCAACAAATTGACGAAGGCTTTTGTACCTCTAGCACCAAATACTATTGCAGTATAGTGTATGATATGACTTTGGTAAGAACCGAGACCGGACCGAGCTTCACAAAATGGAAAAATTCTGTTGATTATGAAGAAATTTATCCATTTTGGGCTGATATTACATTTATGGTGGATAGTGGTGGTAAAAACGGATGAAGATGTATATCAAAGGTATATAAGAATCTAAGCCGATCTCGACAAAATTTGACAGAGGTATTTTTGTGCTGTATCTGATGTCCGGTATCAAAAATCACTGTGGAATGCATATTACGCATGTGAGAGAATTTAACACCAAATCGGATGAAACATATATATGAGAGCTATAGCTATATCTGCACCAATTTTCTCCTAATTCGATGTACTTGCTTCCAGACTGAATTCGGTTGGATGTACTAAAATTCAGGGCATTTCGACTGATATTGGCTATTTGGTGCACAATAAACCCACAATCGGTTGAAGAGATATATGGGACCTATATCCAAATCTGAACCGATATCCACCAAATTTGGTATATGCTAAAATTTGGCAGAGGTATTGGGCTGTATTTGATATCTGGTACCAAATATCATTGTTGTCTAATGCACATTATGAATGTAAGGGATTTAAACACAAAATAGGACGAAACATATATATGGGAGCTATAGCTATATCTGAACCGATATCCACCAAATTTGATATACTTGTGGTCATTTGGTCTTACATTAGCCATTTGGTGTACAATTAACCCGAAATCAGTTGAAGATAACTTAGGTATAGCTCCCATATACCTAAATGTTATCCGATTATCACCAATTTCAATGGTATTCGTCCTCGGGCCAAACAAATATTGTTTGCAAAAATTTCCTCTCAATCGGATAATTAATACAGCCTGCATCAAGTGTAACTATGGGTCTATCTCGCTTCTATCTCAATGTTACAAACAAATGCACAAATATATAATACCCTTACCACTATGTGTTGTAAGGTATGTAAATCTGTAGAAAAATACGGCTAAAATTATAAAAATACCGAATATATTGTGTTACCGTTATATTGGGGCCTATATAACGACTTGAACCGGTATAGGGAATTTTTGTCATAGGCCATTAAGATATTCAAATATGAAACATGAAACAATTCCTGTGAATAATGTCGCTAAAATCATCAAGTACCGAATATAGGGAAGTAGCGTTATATGGGGTCTATGCAAAGACCTGGACCTGCATAAGTAATTTTTGTGTCACAAGCTTTAGTACCCATTACGAAGTGGAAATACGAAATTAAAAACAATACTGGTTAATTATATCGCTTAAATTCCTGTCTTCGTATAGCTTCTTATATAACGGTAAGTACCTATATATAGGAGCCTATACGAAAACCAGGAATTGTATGAGCAATTTTCTGTCATACGAATTTCGAATAAGAAATTTGAAACAATTCCGCTGGATTATGTCGCTAAAATCATCAAAATATCGATTATTGGGAGGTACCGTTATATGGGACTTATAGAAAAAACTATCATAGACTGTAGTACTCACTAGGAAATTTAAAATAATTATTTTGAATAATGTTGCCTCACCAAAATACAGAATATAACGGGGCGCCGTTATGTAGGGGACTATACGAAAACTTAGGCCAATATTGACAGTTCTATGCAAGGTTGTTTCTTTCATAATGGGAACACATGCCGCTAATTTACAGAAAATTCGGCTTAAAAATGTGAATAAAACACCCAAAAACCTTAAATCTATCAGTAGTGTTATATATAGGGGCTATACCAAAACCTATATAGCCTATACTTCATTTAATTCGACAACTTGGGTGATTTCCACATTTTTTATTTTATGCTGATCAAGAATATATATACTTTGTGGGGTCCAAGAAATGAATATGTCGAGGTGTTACAAACGTTACAAAATATACCCTCCATATTATGGTGGATGTTATAAAAAAACATCATCGTATGAAACTGGTAGCTTTAATACTTAAGATTTGATTTTTCTAAAATCCTTTGTTGCATATACATATGGCGCCCCAAAATTTATTTATTTCTGGCAGACTTTTGTCCATTCCCTGCTGATTCGGATTAATCTTAATGAAACAAAGTGTATACTTTACTGTACACTCCATCCAATTGAGGTATTTGGCTGTCAGTCTGTTTCTCTTCCTGGAAAATTCCTTAAATTCCCTCCATACCTTTTTTTCTCCTATATACA